TTCTTCATTTTTTGTTATGTTCAGACAAGTTTGAAATGCTCTTTCCATCTTTCTCAGATCTTACCTTCTTTGTGTATGGATCTACCTTGACTGTCGTTGACATATTTTAATGGTTGGAATGGGATTTTGCCTTTAATTAATTTAAGTTAAAATGATATACATAATCTATGAGATATCAAGATTTAAATTAACATTTGTGGCTTAGGTAGTAAATGTCATAGAAAATTGGAGTGAGGACGTTTGAAAATGTATACGATGTATACAGTATTTAAGTATTATAAGCTGCATAGGATTAAAAGAGTTAATATACAGTCTGATAATACTGATTTTTGTAAAGGCCAAAACAATTATGCGATCCACGAAGCAATGTATGTCATCCAAACAGGCACCATTCACCTATAATCGAAGAAACCTGCAATTTTATTTAGCCAGAGAAAGTTGCGCCGCTAGATATGCAACATGGAACCCAGAGTAAACATCAATTCAGTTTGAAACTCAGAAAACTTCTCTTTGAACAGCTGAATATTTGAGGTAAATTCATAGATAGCGTTTTTTGTTTCGTCTATAATAAAATCAGTCTCATTATTTATTTGGTTGACTGTGTGTAACCCTCGATAGTGGCGGTTCTCCCTCTATAGACTATTATTTACCAGTAAAGCATAGGCTCATAAACTGCTCAGGCAAACCCCTCGCTTTTATATTCTGTTTGATGCAGCTCTTTGCAACCCCTCCTCAAAATTGTTTATTTTATTTCTGATTTGAAAGTTCTTTCCGTAGGGTTAAGATTTTCCCCTATATCTTTTGCCCTGTGTGTTCCAGAGCAAGGACTTTCTAAATATTCAATAAACATATTTTTTATCGTATTATGAAAAGGAAAATTCTACAAAATGTTACCAAGAAACAACTAGAAATATTTATGAATGGGATTCCACAGCGGAACAGAATTGTTGACAGCTTTTTGTCATGTCATAGAAACATGCCAGTTTACGAAATAATACGTGCTGTTTTAGATCGTGCGATTTGAAGAAGAGTGATCTCACACTCTGGTCTACGAGGCACAAGGTGGTGTCTGTGGATTACCATCTCAAAAAATTCGAATTTGACTTCCTGTTTGACTTACCAACTGGGAAAAGATTGTCTAGGATAAACGATCGCTTTTCTGTTTAGATGTTTCACTGATCCGGTCTTTGCAGGGGTAGTTGATTAAGACTGTCGAAACTTGTAATTACTGGAGACATATTTAAGGGAATTTAGCAAAAACGGTTATACCCATTACATTAAGTGGGTAATGGTCTGGCTAGGATTGTGACATAGTGAAAGAGAAGGACGGGAGGAAGAGTGAGATAGAAGGATAGATCTAGAGGGAAAGACATTTATTAATTTCATAACTGTGTATGCCACATGTAATAACTTCTATAAATAAAGTCTGCCCTCCGCCCGGCCTACCCCATGAATATACCCACAGTATAAACGTCGCTACATCACTACCTAAACTATGCATAGAGGTTCACACTTTATGAATGTGTGGACACATTTCCTACGGTTTTAAATATATTCTTAGATTGATATAACATTCAGGAAACTATTATTATAGTAATTATTATTATTATTAATAATATTATCATTATTATTAGTGGCTAAGCGAGGCTAGAAATCTGATTCTTTAGCAAAGGATGTTTTACGATGGCGACATGTTGAGTCGTCGATCAGTAGTGTGGAGCTAAGCCAGTGGGAAACACGTCCCGTCATCTTGGCCTAAACAGGAAAGGAGAAGACCAAGAGAAGACCAGCGTAGAACTATCGTCAGAGAAGGCTTAACAATGGACCTAATGAACACCCAAGACCTAAAGCAGGTGGCAACGAACAGCCAGACACGGAGAGCTATGACCTCTGCCCTATAAGCTGCTCTATGCTCAAGAGGAAAGACTGAGGTCATTTGAGGTCCTCCACCCGTGTTTTCTCTGATTTGCCACCCCTGCTTCCAGTTTCAATACGCTACTATTTTACCTCCTTCAGACTCAAACATTTGTTAATCAAAGTTTTAACACTTTAGGATATAACAATTTAAACAAACACCAGTGGAAGCTGAAAGACGTAATTATTACATTGTTTATCATTCTAATATAGCATTACAGTAGATTATATCACCACCAATGACTTCTTTCTTCGAATTTATTAACATGCATGTCACATTTTTATAGTTTTCATCAGCTGGCAAGATAAACAAACCATCAGTGGTAACGAAATGAATGTTTTTGAATTAGCACTTTCTGGATCTCGCAAAGACCGTTTAAACCTTTGAAATGTGGGAATCTGTTTCAATGTACTGGATGTGATTATTCATATCTGCATGAACATCTTTTGCTTACTAGAAAAGTTGTCGTTTATCAATTCACAAAAATCCCATGATGAGAGTCTATTCTGTATCTTTTTTTTTGAGTTCAAACTTAAAATGGCGGTTGGACATTGTATTGTAGTTTACAGCAAGACGACGATATCTGCGCCTTTTAGCCAAACACATCCGATTTCAGCAAATCGCACATTAGTCACCTTTTAAGAAATGCCCCTAATAGGTCAATGGATTTATCATATCCCCCTCCCCCCTTTCCCCAAACCAGTCACCCCACCCCAAACCAAATGGAGCCCCGGAATCCACATGAAGAACATGTGTATTAAACTGTCATGCTTAATTTTACATTGGTCTTTGTCGAAAAGGTAGGTGCCTTTTCAAAACATATTAGCGGCCATGACTTGGCGATGCTGAAATAACAGTTGTATGTATGTTCACATAATGTTAATCTCCCTTGTTTTCCTAAACAAGAAACATTTTTAAAATCAAAATACACACGCAATGGTACAGGAATTGTAAATAATATACGTTTAAAAAAAGCACTCAAAAACCAAAAAAAAATAACTAACATTAGTTATCCTAATGATTAAGGTTAATATATACATATTTTTTTTTTTACACGACACTAGAAAGTGATATAAGTTATGCCCACTTTGCACTTTCACGTGCCAGCTTTACATACAGCCTATGCATTTTCAAGCTATTGAAAAAAACATTGCAAATACATTTAAGACTTTGGTAAAGCAAGGTAGGTGTGAACTCATAAAAAATATCCCATTCAGAGTAATGTTGTCATTCATGAAACACAGATCGATTAACGTTACCCACATGTATCTGTTAAATGAATTCACATGTCTGTATATTTAAGAATGACATAGGATTTTGTAAGCAGGTAAATTTTTAATAGCCGTCCTGAAAACAAAAATGCCAGATCATGTAAAGATATATGAGGGGTGGGTAAACTACGGCCCGAACCGGCCCGCAGTGCAATATTTACTAGCCCACCAGGCTGGTGTAAATTTACTGGATAATCTGGTTCTTGAAGTCACATAATACAGTAGCAGAATAAGTTACTAGCTACAACAGAGTTAGGAATCTATAGAAGTGCTTCAGTGCGTGAGTATGTGTGTGTGTCCAGAGACTTATCGAGGCATTATAATTTTAAATAATCACACACCAATATCGTGTTACTAGGAAAACTGGGTGTTTTGTTTATAATAGACTTTCTCCTATATGGCTCACAACCAGGTTAATAATTATAAATCCAGCCAGTGGACCCACCCCTGCTCTATATATTCAAAGCAAGACTGCTATTTACAGATGTAAAAAAATAAATAGTTACTGATTTCAGTATAAAATTATTCATCAAAATTAGTATAACTGGCGTCTAAGGGAAAAAAAGCTCGTAACAATTTGGTAAAACAGGAATATATAATTTTTTAAACGTATTCAAGACTGAACTTAAATATTAAAATACTTGCACTTATTCTGCTAATACTCTTAAATTAAAACCATACTATATTCAACTGTTAAAAAGCAAATGAGATATGCTAAAATTGTTCAACAGCCTTTGTGACAGATTCACGACAGTTTAATAAATATGTAATTGTTTAATAAAAACTGAGGCGGCAGTGAACCTGAGATTTACAAAATGTGATTAATATAGAGTAAATGTTAATATCAAAAATTTCAAAAGCCCTTTTTGATATTTAGTATCAAAATGATTTTTCTGCAAAAATCATCCTTATGTAACATTATTATTTTTACTTAGCGCAGACATTTTATATAGAAAGACAATGTATGACTACTAAAAAACCATTTTACCATTGTAAAAAATTATATAAAAAACACATATACAAAAATAATAATTAAAAACAAAAAATGTATTTTAAAAATATTAATTATTTACATCTCCATTCCACTGATTCCCACTGAAACAAACATAATTTCGTATTAATATTTAGATTTGAATTAATATGTAATGAATTGAGATAATGAATTTATGTAAATGAACAAGAAAAACCGACAGATCTACATTGTCTGTAGTGACATAATAAAAAACACAGAGCACCAAGAAAAGGTGGAATACTGATTGAGTAAAAAAAAAAAAGGCTTATAACAGATCTTTCTTCGTCAATGAAATATGATTAATTTTTTGACGATGTAACAAGTACCAGATTAAAAAAAAAAAAAACACTGCAATTTCAGATCTGACATGTATAGAGATATACTAACTAAATAATTGCGTTGACACTAATGATTACATTTCGTGTCACACAGAAGGAAATAAAAAACTCAGTATGAATATAACAACATCCTTGGTAGTCTAAAATTTTTAAAAAAGGGCTAAAAAATATATCAAAAATTATTCTAATAGATTAAACTTGTTACATATATTTTTTAAACCATCACAGTATGAAGAGACAAGAGAACTCCCAGAGGAGAGAATTAATGAAAGATACATAACATGGTTAGGGCATAAATGAAAGTAGGGTTGAGGGTGAGTTGGTTGGGGTCATAGGTAAGGACGAAAATCGATGAAAATAAAAAAGATAAAAGACGAGGACGAAGAAATAAATATAAGCATTCATAACTCCTTTATTCTAAATCATTTTTTTATGCACAATATTTATTTAAATATGTGTAATCTTTAATTTAATGTCTGCAAAAATGTAGCCCATTTCAGGTTTTTATTCTGAATATAATCGTGGGCGTTCTTCATGGCGACATAATATATCCTATACCGACTTTTCTTGTCTCCATTTGTGGCATACGTTTTTACATCGGCATTAACAGCCGGATTATCCACGAACTGGGTCATGGGCTTGTTTTGAGCTCTCAGGGTGGTATCTATTCTGCACAACCAGGAGTAAAACTGATTTTTAACATTATCAATTCTTTTAGTGAATTTGTCATTATCTGTTGCCGTCTGTAAAGTTTTGAAAAACTGTAGATACTTAATGTAGGTACAGATACCTTGGTAATCCTGTCTAAGTGAGGTCACTTTCTGAAAGAAATAACAGGAAAAAAAATCAAAATTTTAGTAAATAAATAATTAAATGTCTATCACATCTCACAAAATAAATGTAAATATTAGTAAAGTAAAGGACCCTTTCCCCCGCCTCCAAGCGTATAGGGCATATAGGGCTAGGTCTATATTTTAAATACCAATCGGCACAAGATAGGTGATGAGGTCAGCGTCACGCCGGTCGCCTTTACTTCCCGGGACTGCTCCCGGTACCCACTCAAGGCTGGGTCGACCTGGGAGCCAAGGACACTTTTGAAAATGTCCGGCTCCGCCAGGAAACGATCCCATGACCTTCCGATCCGCAGCGAGCGTCTAAACGCTCTGCCACGGCGACTCCCAAATTTTAAAATCAGCTTATATATACTTTTTTAAAAATTATTCATGTGATTAACAGAAATTGTTTGTTTATATGAATATTACCTAATTACAAATATGCGCAAGCAAGTCATCATCATGTAGCAGGTCCTTTGCAGAACGTCACTCTCATCACAGTCTGCCTGAAAGAAACTCGGTCTCTCGCCAGTTCTTCCGCCTCATGCGCTTTCACACTCAAGTAGTCACTTATATCCTGTGCCCATCTTCGTGTCGGTCGGCCCCTGCCTCTCCTTCCTGGTACCATGCCTTCTGCTATAATTTTTTCCAATCCGTCAGTTTTGGAGAAAGGATGCTGTTTATTAGCCAATCTTCCTTGATGTTAAGATCTTTTAAGAGGTCAATATTTCTCATCTTCTTTGCCCAAGATATTCTGAGAATCTTTCTTTAGCATTTCAGCTCAAAAGCCCCTATTCTCTTTCTCAAGGACCGAGAAATAGTCCACGACTCACATCCGTATGTAGTCACAGGGAAGATGCATGCTCTCAAAATTCTAATTTTTATCTCCTTGCTGGTGCTTAACCATAGACTTTTAAGGCTGTTCAATATTTGCATTGCTATTCAGAGAATTATTGCTTATTATTGGCTAACAATGTGAAATACACAGTCTGGTCTATGAACTGAATTAAGGAAAGAACCCAAGTTTCTCCACCTTAAAAATATTATGTACGCGGTGCTAGTTTCATTTTTGCATGGACCAGTTTACACCGCACACTGGTTAATATCATATCGGTCTATAAAATATAGGTATAGCCCCATATGTCCAATACGCATAAAGACTTTGAAAAGGGTCCTTTACTTTGTGTGTGTGTGTGTGTGTGTGTGTGTGTGTGTGTGTGTGTGTCTGTGTGTCTGTGTGTGTGTCTGTGTGTCTGTGTGTGTGTCTGTGTGTGTGTGTGTGTGTGTGTGTGTGTGACGTCTTTTCTTCTCAGAGCATTTCCTGATATACATTATGAGAATTCTTCCTATGATTAGGATAGAATACATGATGATCGGGTAGGCAGGTCATGCTAGCCAGAGTTTCACTGGATCTAGATTACTGGACTATAAACCCACTTTTGAATGTTTCCGATTTGTTATCCTAACGCCGGTGCCAAGCACAACGGGAAATGGTTTTGACTGTTGTTTAAGTGTTAATTTTATATATATATCATCATCAGGTGCCTTGCCGACTGGCGTGGGCGATCATGCCATGTATCAGTTCGTGTGCCGACACACCTTCATGCCATGCAACAAGACTGTCGAGCATCTTCTCTCGTTGTCTTCCTCTATCTCTCCTTCCGCAGAACTTTCTAGTGGTCACAACATGTTCTATTTTCCCTCTTCTCATAACATGGCCGAAAAATGATGACTGTCTCCTTCTGATGTCAGTGATAAGTTGTCTTCGGGCTCCCGCCTCTCTCAAAACCTCTTGGTTGCTCTTTTAACTGTCCAAGGTATTCTAAACATTGTTCTGTAAAACCACATCTCCGAGGCCTCCAGAAATTGTTTGGCCTGCATACAGGATTCACAGTCATATGTTGAAACTAGATGTAGGTAGCAAGCAATAATTCTTTTTCTAACTCTCGAAGACAAGAATATATTGCACGATGTTTTTCATGTTATAAAATGCAGTTTTTGATTGTCCTTTATATATATATAAAACTTTGACACTTCGAAAACAAACTTTTTTTTGTATGTAATTTATGAAAACTATGACTGGGATGCAAAGCATTGGTACTTGAATAAGACAATTCAGTTTGCATTTATGATTTATTATACAAAATGACCTATATGAAATTATCAATATAAAAATTATGAATCAAATGAATCAGTTGTACAAATAGATAACTTTGCCATTCTTAAAAAAAAAAAAAAAAAAAAACTGTATCCATTTGCATTATGTACAGGTTAACGTTCGTATGCCAGTGATGTAAAGCATTGGTGCTTGTAGGATATGAATTAAAAACTAATTAATATGATAACGGTTCTATTTCTGTTTACAGTCAGTATAGAATAAGGCCGACGAATTAAAAACTAACTGTGGCAAAACAGTTTGTTTAATAACTGGACCAAGATAATGAAAAATCCGGACATTTTGTGTTCGTCGAAGCAGATTTTCTCAAAGTGTTAGGCTGTCGCTTGGTAAAACCAAGAACCGTGATTTAAGATAAATGTTATATACCTACATAATCATGTGACAAGTTTCAGTTTAATAACAGGCAATTTGAACCATTAAGTGAAATATTTACTATTTATTAATGAAACAATGTAAGGGGCGACTGTAAAGCTTTCAAAGTGCTATTGTAAAGATGACTTTGAATAATACCTTAGAAGAAGAAGAAAAACAAAAGCAGATAGAACATTCCAAAAAAAGATCCCCGTAAATTAATTGAGATACTTTTTTATTTTTGGGTGTAAAGTGAAAGTAATAATTAATGAAGTGTTTAGTTTGTTGCATGTAACAGTTTAAAAAAAAAGTTACAAGTACGTGGATAATATTAAGCGATGAACTGGGGTAAGCAGGTATGAATGCACCATGGATAATGTTGCATACTCATAATATGGAGATGACATGTGATAATAATGATGAATTTCGTAAAGAACATCTTTATATATAAAAATCAATGTTTGTGTGTTTGTTTATCATCTATATACTCGGAAACTACTGAACCGATTTAGCTGAAATTTTCAGAATATGTTTTTTTTTATACCGGATTTTTACCCGTCATGGTTTGAAATTTTACCTATCATTGTTTGAGATAGGTGACGACATTTGTTGGGAAAATGTTCGAAACTAATATTTTCATTTTAGTGACATTTAATTAAAACCACGTTCGTAAATGCGCATGCGTAGTAGTCGGAACGCAAGACTTCCACCATTCGCCGGCGAGATACGTACAGCCAACGCCTTCTCTAATAAATAGAGTAGGCCGTGGTACAGCAAACAAGACTATCTCTATATCTGTGCAGGCAATGATTGCGATAATAACCATATTAGACACGATTTCTATTTTCTGTCTTTTCAAACAACCTTCAGTGAGGTGGAGAGTAGCCGATGGATTTGAGGGGGGGGGGAATTATCTTGACGTCTGCACAGACAATGATTGCGACATTAATCGTGTTAGACACGTGCGATTTATATTGTTGTGCCGTTTCAATAATATATCTGGAATATCTGTCTATGAGAAAAAATTTGCTTGCGGTTTTGTATCGTGTTATAATCAGGACACATCAGTAGGGACACACATCTCAAATAGTTTTGTTCTCTTTTCGTTGCTCTGATGGAGTGGTTGCTTGGCCGAATGGTAAGAACACTGGGCTCCCGTGCGGGAGACCAGGGTTCGAATCTACAGTACAGTTTTATAAACCCGGTGAGTAGAAGAAGAAGAAGAAGAAAAAATAAAATCCTCACCTGCACTGTCGTTGCGACAGCACTAGCTATGTGGCCCTTAATACTAAAAAAAAAAAAAAAGTACAGGTATGTGGGTAAACCAGTTGATAATTAAATTTGACCATTTCGGATACTTGTGATTTCATTTCAAACTTTCCGATTGCATGGTTAGGCTAAATTTTCATAGATTTCCATTTATTTTCATTTAAATTAAATTATTTCATCTGTGTTGGAATTTTAAGCTGTGCTGTTTACCATAGCGTTCATTTCCTCATTATGGTGTATTTTTCCTGTTTTAATTGCTTTTCACTTGTTTTTTTTTTTCCTCCTAACTACTTCGATGAGGGAAAGAGTAGTCGGTGAATTGGGGGAGGGTGGCACAAACTGTTTACTGAGAGAGCTTTTAGTCACACTAACTGCCTTACCCACTCAAAGTAGAAGCAACAATAGTAGTGGTAGGGCGGTTACATCGTAGCCCTGTTAATCCCGGAGATTGCCGGTCAGGTTATGGCGTTCTTCTGTCGGGCAGCGAAATTATACATCCTAACCTGACCAGTCCGTGGCGACAGCACTAGCCATGCGGCGCCAAATCTTCTTGCTCACGACTCCCTGTCTACTCCGATGGTAAAACAGATAGCTGTGACATTATTTTAGCTATTGTGGTGATGGTCGTGGTAGTAGTTGTACTGGTACTTGAAGAATGGTGTGGTAAATATAACACTAGCCCCATTTGCTACCTATCACAATTCCTGCTCTCCATTTTAGTCCGGATGGACAGATATGTCAATGTTAGTTACAACAACAACAACAACAACAACAACAACAAAAAAAAGATATCGCCAGGTGATGATTTTCAAATCCTTCAAAGAGGGAGGGAGCAGTAGTCGGTGGATGGCGGGAGGGGATGGGGTGATGACTGAAATTGTTAACTTAAAGAACTAAACACATGATTTTTAAAGTTCTCATTACTTAATTTGTTTATATTTTACTAACGCCACCTCCGCTATTCTCATTTTTTAAAGACTTACTTTATTATTTACAAGTACAGTAATAGCTTTACTTCCGTTTCCTATAAAAAATACCAAAAGCTTTAGCATGTGATAACAAAATAACTATTTTTGTTACTGTGCTAATAGCACCATTTAAACGACTACTAATAAAAAGACACATTTTTGTGGTGCGTCCAAAAACCTTTGATGAGGGAGGAGAGTTATAGGTGGATTGGTGGTGGGGGGGGGGGGGGGGGGGGATCGAAGACTATCTCTGTATCTGAGCAGACAGTGATTGCGACAGTAACCATATTAGACACGTGCGATTTCTATTTTCTTTCTTTTCAATTTAGCCAAACTATGCCACAGCAAAGCGTGGCCGGGTACAGCTAGTGTCTTTATAAAACACGTTTAAGGAACTAGCTGCACATATTATTTCAGTACTCCTAATGGTTATGGGCTGTTGGATAATTATTTCAGTTCAGCCTTAAAGCAGTGCGTTGTTGAATGTAATTAAAAAAAAGATTAATTACATCATCAAAACAATTAAATTAGTGGTAAGTAGAAAGCACTTTACTTTATTTACGATCGCTCAATTCCTCATGCAACCTAACAAATTATGTACAGTGCCATATCGTTAACAAACATTTCAGTTCTGAAAAAAAAAATGTAAAACAAAAAAAAAGCAACATGATGTGCATGCGCAAATCGTTGGTCTTCGAAATAGTGTCAAAAATTAGAGATAATTGTTTCTTTAAACCGTGCTGCTGATTCTATGAAGCGTAGAATGTCATACAGGAACATAAATTACAAAAACACTAAAAGCAAGCACCATCACTAGCAAACACATACAAATTTAGACAATCACCGTAGAAAGCAGTACCAGTCATTAGGGTGCTGGGTGTTTGTTGTGCTTGGATCGGTAAAACAAAAAGTACCTATCAGTGCTCCTAGGATTTTTTCTGTACCTCTAGAGCTTCTTTCAAGATGCTCATCATCAGCTGTACCCAGCGGGAAAACCTGTACCCCATTAAACTCCTCGTAGTCAGCTGCTGTGGTTTCATTATTTTTCTGTGACTCTTCCATGGTGAAATTAGAAGCGACGGCCTGACTAGTTATCTTTATTCTGCATTGCACCGCCAAAGTTGCAGACATAACGTCTCTCAACTTATCATTAAATCTGGGAATCTTATCGCTAGCTAGCAGTTTTTCAAGAAAGTTATAAATAACGGTAATGTTTAATGAGTTGCGACTCAAAAGTTGTGGCGAAAACCTGCGATACAAAAGAAAGGAAAGCAAAAATACAGTTATATTAATAAATAGTAATGAATCAAAGCAGTGCAAGGTATCATTTCGATAATACTCGTACATGGCATTGCACAGAAGAATAATTAGTACAAGCAAACAAGACTATTGTTTAGTACATCAAACTAGAGTACAACAATAAAGTCATAAATTAGCCATTAGTATTATAAAGTAGTAAGTTAAGTATCAATTTCAAGGTCTGTCATTTCTTATACAGATAAGCGTCCATACCACGATGGCAGTCTTCTTTCAATTAATCTGGCATACATTTTCCCTCTTCTAATTTTGAAATTTAACATGCATATTTTTGTTCTTTCTTCAAATTTCAAATTACGATGGATCTGTTCTGTCTAAAACATCAACGTGCACAATGTTTTGGCCATTTCTTTTTCATGCAGACCTAACTTCTGAACAGCCAGACCTTGATATATGGAACATGAATTGCGTAAAGAAGTTTTTTGTTTGTTTGTTTGTTTGTTTGTTTAAAAAACATTCTTCATAGATCATGGCCTGCATTGAATCAGGTATGTTCAAGTTTGACCATGACGATGAAAACATATGCAACCACCATGAACTCGCTCCAACAGCATATTTCTACTTATCTCTTCCTTCCTGGAATTAATTCGCACTCCATAACGCATAAGACATACACTCATGGGACAAGTCATAGTTAATTTAAAAAAAAAAATAGAACAGATTAACGTGTTTATTTTTAACTGAGGCAAAAGTGTTGCAACTATCTATCTATGTTGCTGAATGTAACGGGAAAAGCACACCCTAGTACAGTTAGTCACGTCAAAAGTATATTACATGTGGTTAGCCACATTGAAAAGTAAGATGGATTACATCAAACGAGCTCTAGTACTTGCAATTGCACTAAAATACACAGAATATACAAATGTAAAGCTTACATTAGATGCACTAACCGCTGTTTCTCCTACTGCAATAGACAGACCAGGTACGTTCTGTAATGGTCCATCCAGGCCTTTTGTTTCTGATTTTGTTAGTACAGACCTCTGTGGGAGAAGCGAAGCAAGATTCGTAATAAGTGGAAGATTTTATTTAAAAACCGTTCACGATTATTGCAGCTCAGATTCTGTAGTAGTAGTAAGTTTACCCAGCCAGAACATCACACAGAGCTATGAACACTTTGTGTCACCATGCGGATGAGGATCACCAGTGGAGAGGTCCCAGAAACCGCGTTAAATCGTTAGGCTATATTACGGACCCCGGTAAAAGCCGGAGAAGGCATTCAAAACAACGTTAAATTGCCTCACACAAGGGGACGGCCTTGGTTGCGTCATATTATTCTAGGAATAAAATTTTATGTTAATGCATTTATAAATCATCAGTTTTGTTTCCGAAAGTTTCGTACAACAGTAATCATGAATACAATCAATAAAAAAATTCGCCCACACTTTAAAAAAAATAAAAAAAAATAACGGAATATATATCTTAAGACATTAGCTTACATCCTAATCGCCCTGCCTTTATGTTCTCCATTCCATGCATACAGGCAGCTAAATGCTGAACAAGGGTTTGAAATGTAGCGGTGCATCCTGCACACAACGGACACAGCTTCTGCAATGCAACGGACTGGTGAAAACTGTTCAAGAATGAAAGCGCTGGAAAAACTATTGCAAGTTGTCGAGCTATATTTATAAAGCTTGCATTTTTCAAAAATAAAAACAAAACGTTTTCTTACAGTTTGTTTCCATTTAAAAGGTTGCTTTCCTAAGTTTAACACATCACACCATCAAAGGTGACATTATTTAAGTATGCATATAAACACAAGCAAATATCAAACATACCAACGATTGTTTAAATGTTTGGCACACGGTATCTGCAGTGTTTGCTGCTATGATTGTCAGCCGAATTTGATCTTTGATCGGCAAGTACACGGGTTTCCTAGTGCTGCTTGTGTCACCTTGACAAGGGTTATCTATTGTGGGTACAGATCTGAGTACAGCACCCTGGAACAGGGCGGTCAGTGCTACCAGCAGGAACACGATCACTTCTGCAAGAGAGTTTAAAAAAAGTTGTCATGATTATTAGAGCTCATGTTCAGGTAAATTCTCTAACACGTTTTACTTGCCAGCTTTGAGACTTTCAGATCTAGCTGGTATCTTATTTTACCTTTTGTGTGTGTGTGTGTGTGTGTATTAGACACACACGTAAAATAGTCTCAGATGTGCTTTGTTTTCAAAGTCATTAATTAAAAACGTGCTTAATGAAGAGTTTTAGTGTTCAAGTCCCTTTCTGCATTCGAAATAATAAATATTTTTCATTCTAGAATATATCAATTTTTGTCTGTTTGAAGTTATTTTTTAAAAAACACACCAGTTTCTGTATTTTTGTATTCTAAATATTTATTCTAGTCTTTAATCACGTTTCTTTAATCACGTTTTTGTTTTATTTATACCATTCCATTATAACTTATACAGGCGGTCAAAACAATTTATTAGTTCTTACCAAACAAACAATTGTTTGTTTGCAACGCAGCAGTATTTTTTAAACTTTTCAAACATTTATAAGAAGCCGTGGCTCATTTAATATAACTGACCTACACTACCAGTCTAAAATGGATACCGTAAAAAAAAAATGTCTGGCAAGGAAAGCCGGCATACCCAGTGAGACCACATCATCAATCATAGTCAGATATAGAAATGTGCGTCTGTCACCATATGCCCGATTTGCAAATCGCGCAAAAAAAAAAAAAAAAAATGAGTTTAGTTTGTCTCACTAGCTATGAATTTATTGTTCTTTGATGGTGAAATTACAAACTATTACAAAGATCGCATAGCTAATACGTCAAGATGTCAATATGCTATACCTTCAGTATTTGTAGTCATGTCAAATTCCTATGTATAACCAGCTGAAACTAATTTAGTTGTTCAAAGCTTGAGTCTGTTGAAATATCTTTGTTGACTGTTAGATTTGGTATCTGTATTGAACATTTTATAGTGCCCATATAATCTATTTTAAGTACCAAACAAGAAAGAGGTGGCATGAAGCTTTGGTTAACAAACAGGATTTTCGTTAAACAGTTCTTACAGTGACAGCTCAGATAGATGGATAGATAGATAGATAGATAGATAGATAGATAGATAGATAGATAGATAGATAGATAGATAGATAGATAGATAGATAGATAGATAGATAGATAGATAGATAGATAGATAGATAGATAGATAGATAGATAGATAGATAGATAGATAGATAGATAGATAGATAGATAGATAGATAGATAGATAGATAGATAGATAGATAGATAGATAGATAGATAGATAGATAGATAGATAGATAGATAGATAGATAGATAGATAGATAGATAGATAGATAGATAGATAGATAGATAGATAGATAGATAGATAGATAGATAGATAGATAGATAGATAGATAGATAGATACATTTGACTTCCGGTCAAAATGGACGCAGGCGCGGTTACTGTTTCGCGCCGAGGCACATTTTTTGCTTTTGCCAGGCGGTGGCCGTTGCATTTTTGATCAATTTGTAGACTAAAAGGATACAGTTTTGTCGCGCCAGCTACTGAGTTGAGTGCATGGCGCGATCCTGTGAGCTGTGGATTTCATTTAGAATGTTTTTGGACTGTGACCAAAGTGGTGTTGTGAACTGTAGATTAAGGAAATATCTCGTGGCCTGTCGCCGCAATATTGGTGGTGCCCTTATGTGATTCATTTTGATCGCGTGCGCTACTGCTGATCTGTTGGCGACTTCTGATACCGTTGATGATGAATTGCATTTCTAATGTCAGACTGTTTGTGTTAGCACTAGTGATGGCTACCGTATGCTTTTAATGCGTGTGTATGCTAGTTGAGGCAGCAGTCTGTCAATCTTTCCGCACGGGACTGCATCGAATATTCTGTGTGTTTTTCGTTGGCACAGGACCGGATTAACTATGGGGTGACTCGTTTGCTATGAAGCCGAAACTAAGATTACCATGATTACCAAGACAGACAGACAGACAGACAGACAGACAGACAGACAGACAGACAGACAGACAGACAGACAGACAGACAGACAGACAGACAGACAGACAGACAGACAGACAGACAGACAGACAGACAGACAGACAGACAGACAGACAGACAGACAGACAGACAGACAGACAGACAGACAGACAGACAGACAGATAGATAGATAGATAGATAGATAGATAGATAGATAGATAGATAGATAGATAGATAGATAGATAGATAGATAGATAGATAGATAGATAGATAGATAGATAGACAGACAGATAGATAGATAGATAGATAGATAGATAGATAGATAGATAGATAGATAGATAGATAGATAGATAGATAGATAGATAGATAGATAGATAGATAGATAGATAGATCGGACAGATAGATATAGATAGATAGATAGATAGATAGATAGATAGATAGATAGATAGATAGATAGACAGATAGACATATAGACAGACAGGACAGACAGACAGACAGACAGACAGACAGCCGACAGACAGACAGACAGACCGCAGACAGACAGGAAAGACAGACCAGGACAGACAGACCGACATACAATATAGCTAGATGGATGGATGGATGTGGATTATGGCTGGATGGATGCTGGATGGAGGATAGATAGATAGATAGATAGATAGATAGATAGATAGATAGATAGATAGTACGATCGATAGATCGATAGATCGATAGATCGAATAGATAGATAGAATCGAATAGCGAGAAATAGATAATAGAAATAGAGACATTAGAGAATAGAACTAAAAAGATATATAATAGATGATAGATAGATAAGATAGATAGATAGATCGATATGATAGATAGCTAAATAGGATAGATAGCATAGATCGAATAGATAGATAGATAGATAGATAGATAGATAGAAGAGATAGATAGTAAGAGAGCGATAGATAGATAGATAGATAGATAGAAGTAGAAGATAGATAGATAGATAAAGATAGATAGATAGAATGATAGATAGATAGATAGCAGATAGATAGAATAGAGAGAAGATAGATAGATAGATCGATAGAAAGATAGATAGATAATAGATAGATTAGATAGATGAGAAGATAGATAGATAGATAGATAGATAGATAGATAGATAGATAGATAGATAGATAGATAGATAGATAGATAGATAGATAGATAGATAGATAGATAGATAGATAGATATAGATAGATAGATAGATAGATAGATAGATAGATAGATAGATAGATAGATAGATTAGATAGATTAGATAGATAGATAGATAGATAGATAGATAGATAGATAGATAGATAGATAGATAGATAGATAGATAGATAGATAGATAGAGATAGATAGATAGATAGATAGATAGATAGATAGATAGATAGATAGATAGATAGATAGATAGATAGATAGATAGATAGATAGATAGATAGATTAGATAGATAGATAGATAGATAATAGATAGATAGATGATAGATAGATAGATAGATAGATAGATAGATAGATCTAGATAGATAGATAGATAGATAGATAGATAGAATAGATAGATAGATATATAGAGAAGATAGATAGATAGAAGATGAAGAATGCTGGGTTTATGGATCGTACCTTATTATATTTAGGGGAAACCCCTGATCTTTGCGGTTAATGTTTTTTTAGCAAGATTTCATACCGGAAACACTGGAGTTTGGGAGAATATGGACAATGCAGATGTTTTTCCCCATATAGGAAGAGGGGGAAAGGGGAACAAAAGCGAAGGGTTTTAGAGGGTTTGGCTAGTAAACAAACCCGAAAAGGGAACTGTCCTTTTGGGGATCTTGGACAACAGGGTTTTATAGAAAGTTTTGACTCAAAAAAAAAAGGGGCGGTGGGGGGGGGGGGGAAGAGACATTTTAAAAAACGAGATACTTTGCCTTTGGGAAACACCTTGACAAAGTTTTCTTTCA